CACAGATACTAAAAACAACAGACATAGCCCCACTCCACAAAGGGGGCACTAAAGCAATAACAAAGAACTACAGACCGATAACGTTAACATCCCATATCATAAAAATCTTTGAAAGGGTCCTAAGAAGCAAGATCACCACCCATCTAGATACCCATCAGTTACACAACCCAGGGCAACATGGGTTTAAAGCAGGTCGCTCCTGTCTTGTCCCAACTACTGGACCACTACGACAAGGTCCTAGATGCACTAGAAGACAAAAAGAATGCAGATGTAATACACACAGACTTTGCAAAAGCCTTCGACAAGTATGACCATGGTGTAATAGCGCACAAAATGTGTGCTAAAGGAATAACAGAAAAAGTTGGTAGGTGGATCTATAACTTCCTCACAAATAGAACACAGTAGTAGTAGTAAACAGAGGTGAGTCTGAGGCGGCTACGGTGAAAAGCTTTGTTCCGTAAGGCACAGTACTTGCTCCCATCTTGTTCCTCATCCTCATATCTGGCATAGACAAGGATGTAAGCCACAGCACCGTGTCTTCCTTTTGCAGATGACACCTGAATCTGCATGACAGTGTCTTCCATTGCAGACACTGCAAGGCTCCAGGCGGACATCAACCAAATCTTTCAATGGGCTGCAGAAAACAATATGAAGTTCAACGATGAGAAATTTCAATTACTCCGATATGGTAAACATGAGGAAATTAAAACTTCAGAGTATAAAACAAATTCCAGCCACACAATAGTGAAAAACTAATGTCGAAGAACTGGGAGTGATCATGTCAGAGGATCTCACCTTCAAGGACCATAACATTGTATCAATTGCATCTACTAGAAAAATGACAGGATGGATAATGAGAACCTTCAAAACTAGGGATGCGAAGCCCATGATGACACTCTTCAGGTTGCTTGTTTTATCTAGGCTGGAATATTGCTGCACACTAACAGCACCTTTCAAGGCAGGTGAAATTGCTGATCTAGAAAATGCACAGAGAACCTTCACGGCACGCATAACGGAGATAAAACACCTCAATTACTGGGAGCGCTTAAAGTTCCTGAACCTGTACTCCCTGGAACGCAGGTGGGAGAGATACGTGATTATATACACCTGGAAAATCCTAGAGGGACTAGTACCAAACTTGCACACGAAAATCACTCTATCCGAAAGCAAAAGACTTGGCAGACGATGCAACATTCCCCCAATGAAAAGCAGGGGTGTCACTAGCACGCTAAGAAACAACACAATAAATGTCAGGGGCCCAAGACTGTTCATCTGCCTCCCAGCATACATAAGGGGGATTACCAATAGACCCCTGGCTGTCTTCAAGCAGGCACTGGACAGGCACCTAAAGTCGGTACCTGACCAGCCGGGCTGTGGCTCATACGTTGGATTGTGTGCAGCCGGCAGTAACAGCTTGGTTGATCAGGCCCTGTTCCACCATGAGGCCTGGTCACAGACCGGACTGCAGGGGTGTTGACCCCTGGAACTCTCTCCAGGTAAACTTCAGGCATGCAAGTTTTGATTAGCAATACTTTTAGTACAATCTGTAAAAGTGTCTCTGGCAAATTTAATTCAGATTTCTAATTACATTCTCTATACATACACTTGGCATCTTTAATTTCGTGTGTGTATTCACCTAGTTAATAGATACTGCTCGACTACTTAAGAGTTAATCAACTATTGTAGGTCACACCCTGTGGAAGACCTGAATGAAAACGAGCCATATTTCTTGACTATCTTGAGTTTTCTTGTGTGGTTAACCCACCAGAGTTACCTACTAATTTAAATAGTTGTTTTCTACGTTCCTCTGTACATCTTAAATTGATTAATGAAACTGTTTTCTTAGTACAGTGGAACCTCAAAAATCAAACTTAATCCGTTCCAGGAACTAGTTCTAAATTCGAAAAGTCTGAAATTCGAAGCAATATTTCCCATAAGAAATAATGGAAATACAATTAATCCGTTCCAGAAACCTAAAAATATTCACACAAAAAATACATTTTATAGAGATTAATTACAGTTTTACATACAACAAATACTATAGTTTTTAAATATGTACATATAGTAATACATATAAAATAACAATCTTTACTTACCTTTATTGAAGATTGGTGATGGCATCTGGAAGATGAGGAGGAGGAGAGAGGGAGTTGGGGTTAGTGTTTGGAAGGAGAATCCCCCTCCATGAGGACTTGAGGGTAAAGCCCTCTCTGGGGTTACTTCCCTTCTGTCTTTTAATGCCACTAGGACCAGCTTGAGAGTCACTGGACCCCTGTCTCACAAAATAACTCTCCACAGTCCTCTGTTTCTGGGACCTCTTTAACATTTCCCTAAAATGGGACATGGCTCTGTCACTGAACTTGTTGTGAAGATGGCTTTTTTCAGCTTGCTCAGGGTGGTACTTATGCACAAACATTTGGACATCATTCCACTTGGCACAAATCTCCTTAATTTTGAAGAAGGCACCTCATCCACTCCCTATATTAACACCTTTTGCAACATCAGCTTCCTTGATTTGTTCTTTCTTTGACAGGATAGAACTGATGGTCTACTTGTTTTTCCCATACATCCTGGCAAGTTCAAAAAGTCTCACACCACTCTCATACTTCTGTATTATTTCCTTCTTCACATCTATGATGTTTCTCACTTTCTTTACCACAGGGGCCCATGGCAGCTTATTTCACAGTCCCACAAGCACTAAACACAATGAAATAATTGTAAAATGCATGAATAAGAGCGCAGGTTAGTGTTCACTCAAGCATAAACAAAGCTAGACTGCTCATGGCGCCTGCGCAGGGATGCGGACAGAGTGGGCGGCAGACAGGTCCCGTACCCGGCGGTCCGAAAATAGGGGCGCGTTCGATAATAGGGACACTGTTTGTCCGAAAAAAATGGTCCTATTTTCGAAACGTTCGATATGTGATACATTCGATTTTTGAGGTTCCACTGTAGTATTTTTCAATTAAGAAATTTGGGTATATACAGCCTCTACTCGCTTAGCAACGTACTTGTTTACCAACGCCTCAGACTTACAGTGGGCTCTCTGATCAGTATTTATACCTAAATAATGTATATTAGAGTTGATTTCCTCTTCTGTTTATTTCACCATACAGTACACTACTGTATAAACATTTAAAAATATACGAGAAATGTTATAAATGGTACAAAGGTGACATTAAAACAATATCAAAGATGGATGACACAAACCCACTACCATTATAGTATGCTCCTCACTTAGAGACAAATTCATTTGACGACGACGTCTTAGGAACAGAACTCCGTCGTTAAGTGAGGAGAGGTTGTACTAAACATTAATTTTAACTTAAAATCCTTGTTGAAAAAAAAAAGTTTTTTCTTGTACATTATGTATCTCACCCTACTTGAATGTGCATTATTTACCTTCTTTGTTATGTTCTTTGTTAATTTTTTTCCTTGCATTTTAGCCTTTTTATCAGTGTTGAATGATCATGGGTTCAGTGCTTGTTTTAGAGAGTACTAAATAGCAATGTACAAATTTCCTTAATGTTATGCAGATTCACTATTATACTATTTCCCATTTCTATCAGTAATTCTGTACATGAGATATACAGTGGAACCTCGGTTTTCATCATTAATTCGTTCCAGCAAGTCTGACGAAAACTGAATTCGACGAAAACTGAAGCAATGTTTCCCATAAGAAATGTAAATCCAATTAATCCATTCCAGACACCCAAAAGTATAAACAAAAAATTAATTTTATAGAGAATAACTAGTTTTACATACAGAAAACACTGAGAAATAAATATAAAGGACTAATGAAATGGATAAATGAACATTTCATATCACTTTTACGTTTATTGAAGACTTGTTGGTGTATGGAAGATGTGAGGAAGGGAGAGGGGGGAGGAGAGGTTATTGGTTGGAAGGGGAATCTCCCTCCATAAGGACTTCAGGTATCAAGTCCCTGTCCAGGTTACTTCCCTTCTTTGTCTTTTACTGGCATTGGACACCTGTCGCACAAAAAATCCGTCCAGAGAGGTCTGTTTCTGGAGTCTCATTAAGATTTGCCTAAAATGGGACAAGGCATTGTCATTGAACATGTTGCAGACATAGCTTGCAACAGCTTTGTTAGGGTGATATTTCTCCACAAAACTTTGCAACTCGCTCCACTTTGCATACGTCCTTAATCACTGAAGAAGACACATTCTGCCCTCTCTCTTCCTCGTCCTCTGAAGCAATTTCCTCAGCTGCAGTCTGCTGCTGTTCCAATTGAAGGTGTTACAGCTTTTCAATGGTTAGTTCTTCCCTGTGGTCATCCACCAACTCTTCCACATCCTGGCCACTCGCATCCAACCTCCATGCTACGAATTCTTTCTTGAATTCTATCATGTTTCTCGCCTTCTTTATCAAAGGGCTGGCACTCAGGACTTTCTTTGGCCCCATGGTTGCTTATTTAGCAGTCGCACTCAATAAACAAGCACAAAAAAACAATGGATTAGTATTATGAAATGTTTCGGATGAATGCGCAGTGTAATGATCACTCGACGAGAAACAAAGCCAGACTGACTCGGATGCGTGGGATGCTTTGTGTGGGCTCTGGGAGGTGGACATGTTCGGTATGGTGGACCAACAAAAACAGAGGTGATGAACAAAAACTGGGACAGAACTTTGATGAAAAAAGTCGTTGAAAACTGAATTCGACAAAAACCAGGGCAAACGAAAACTGAGGTTCCACTGTACACTCCAATATGCAATGAGATCAATGCAGTTTACAAAGCATATTGAAGATTCTTAGGCAGAATTAAGTTTAGATGGTCTGATTGAACTTAGTACAGCTGCCATGGGCCTTGAGCACATCTTCATAAAGCAAGAGACATCTGTAAAAATAATTGAATTATTATTCCTTCTGCTCCCCTCCACGCAAATGGTTTGACACCTTTTTTTTTTATGCCTGTTTGAATTAGGTCGTGACATCTTATGGCACTGCCTTGAATTTTTGACCTTAGCTGGCATGAAATTCTGTATAATTTTGGCATTCCTCTTAGGCAGAGGTGCTCGTCTGAAGTAACTATTGCAGCAGCAGCATCACCACCACCACTGCTATGCTGAGCAAAAACATCACCCTTTTTTGTATGGTATGGAACAGCTTCTCTGTACTATATTATGAAATATTAACTTCATCAGTAGTAGGTTCATAGACAGTTGCCATGCAGAAAAGTACTACTGTCCTTTCAGATGACTGTGAAATGGAAACTTATTAAATTTTCTGCACTTTGTCAGGATTGCTTTTCTTTCCTTTCTGTACCATGAACATGTAAGATAACAGGTAAATCTTACAATTGTTTACTTGTAGTATTCTATACACTCAATCATTTACTTTCCTAGGTGTTTTGTAATAATGTAGTTCTTAATCCTGTAATATTTCCTTTCTAAGGAATCTTGGTCTGAGACCAGGCTGTGAAGATAATGTTCCCCAGAACCACAGAGAAGCCATGTTTTATGGCTCACAGTGAATAGTCGAATCCCCAAATCTGTGAGCTATGTAATTTTAAATTTGATTATACAGCGGACCCCTGCCTTACGATATTAATTCGTTCCTGAGAGCTCATCGTGAGCCGAAATTGTCGTAAGGCGAATTAATTTTCCCCATAAGAAATAATGGAAATCAAATTAATCCGTACAAGACACCCGAAAGTCTGAAAAAAAAAATTTTACCACATGAAATGTTAATTTTAATACACACAAACTTAAGAAGACATGCACAATTAATACTCTACTAAGAATAGAATACATGACACTTACCTTTATTGAAGATCTGGTGATGATTGATGGGATGGGAGGAGGGGAGTGTGTGGAAGTTATTGTTTAGAAGGGGAATCCCCTTCCATTAGGACTTGAGGTATCAAGTCCTTTTCTGGGGTTACTTCCCTTCTTCTTTTAATGCCATTAGGACCAGCTTGAGAGTCACTGGACCTCTGTCGCACAACAAATCTGTCCATAGAGGTCTGTACCTCCCGTTCCTTTAAGATTTGCCTAAAATGGGCCACAACATTGTCATTGTAATAGTCACCAGCACGGCTTGCAATAGCTGTGTTAGGGTGCTTTTCATCCATAAAGGTTTGCACTTCAACCCACTTTGCACACATTTCCTTAATCTTTGAAGTAGGCACAATAGATTCCACAACTGGCATAGGCTTCTCAGGGTTAGCCCCAAACCCTTCAAAATCTTTCTTAATTTCCATACTAATTCTCGCCCCCTTTTACCACAGGATTGGCACTAGAAGCTTTCTTGGGCCCCTGGTGCTTATTTTACAATTACAACCCAAAAAAAACACGGGATAAGGGTAAAATGTACCAAAATTATGCTGGTGCGACCACACGGGTGGGCCCAACGGGGGACCGTCCCAGACAATCAGTGAGGCGAGGCAAAATTTTTGCGTTCAAATGTATGGTATGGGGTTTTTAATGAAAAGCGAGCCATGTAAGGCGGGGTCCATTTACTTGAAAAAAATTTATAACGGACTCTTGTGGGTTTGTTTGATTTGACTTTTTTGGCAATGCCCTTTTCTTCGGTTGGGACATTCCTAAGTTGAAAACTAACTGATAGGACTTATTCAAAATTTGCTCAATGGATTTTTCACAATTTATTTTTCCCAGGTATTCCTTCAAAGAAATGTCAATATTATATAAAGCGAGGCATTAGAAAAAAATTTATTATGAACAATTTTGTAATTGTGATGATTTGGGGTTTGACTGCAATAATAATAATTACTATATATAAAGAAATTGGGATAATGTAATATTTAGTTGTTTAATATTTGCTTAGCATTTACCCATAGAACAGATACTGAAAGAATACAGTAATTTATTCATTTTTATATTTGTACTCTATTATTGTGGTCTTATCAAGCTTTTTGTATTAGTGTTGGTGGTGGTGGGTGCTGGTTTTTTATATGTAGTGATGGTTTATGTATCGTGTGTACTGCATGCAGGGTAAAAGGTACATTATGTGAATAATTTACAGTGAAGTTCTAGCAGGTCATGTTTGTTTGGTTGAGCGGCAAGCAAATGGTAGACTGCCGAGCAATTTGTTTACTGAACAAAGCATTCGAATACCAATTTGTTAAAGTACGGAGCTATTCGAGTACCAAGGTTCCACTATACATGTGAAATTGATGTGACTGTGTGCTTCACATTATTCAGCAAGAAAATTGCGCATGTACATAAATTGGACTTCCATATGCAACTGCAGTGAAACCTTGATTTAGTCAACTAATTAGAGGGACATCTGCTATTTAGCTTGTCTGTTAAATCCGATTGTTTTTCCATGATCATAACATTAACCTTTAAACTGTCCAAACATAGATCTACATTTGCACTGCTAGTGCTCCGAACGTAAATCTATGTTTTATTTTACACGCTTTCAAATGTAGAAAACATAAGTACATCTACGTTCGGAGTGCTAGCGGTGCAAACGTAGATCTACATTTAGACAGTTTAAGGTTTAACAGACAATTCTGAATTTAATTAACTTTGTTAAATTCAAAATCACGATTTCCCAGTGGAGAGTGACAAGGATCAGTTCTTGATTTATTGGGCTTTGTCCATTACTTCTCGACATTGTCCACTCTCAGATTTTGTTTGCTAAATTTGAAATCTGTTAAATCAGGGTCCATTAAATAGGTTTTACTGTGATTGTATGTACAGCATGTTGGATAAATGCACGCCCTTTTGTATTTTCAGTGTCTAGCCTTCGTTGCAGTGTGTATGCCCATACTGTTCACTACTGGACGGCATCTTATAAGCAGAATGACAGCCACGGCAACTTATGTAGCTGGTACTCACTCCATGGCCTTCGTTACTGCTCCCTCGCAGGAGGTTGCCAAAAAGATTGCCAGGTACTGTATAATATGCCTATTTTAGCACTCAACCTATAAAACGGAAATTTCAACAAATAGCAAACACAACTAAGCACATTTAAAAACTTAATAAGCTGTGTCTAGTTCTTTAGTAGTCTCTAAGCATTAGGATCAATGGTTCCCCCATTACAAGAGACATTGAGGGCAAATTTTAGGTCTACATCTTGACTGCATCCTCTCCAAGATACTTTGTACCCTAAAAGGCACTACACACACACTACCACTCTCTAATCTACCCTTACCTCACGGTATTTATGCTTGGGGTTCTATGATTAATCCCTTAACCCATTAGTTATCCAACAAAAAAAAGTGCTGTGTGGATGATCACCAATTCCTGTACCAGACAACACACCCCTCCACTCTTCAAGAGTTTGAACTTTCCTTGTATACAAAACATGCACTCATATTTCTGTGCCTACTATATACGTATATAGAACATTAAACTCCAATATAAACCATCCTCTCAAACTTCTTGATAGCTACAACAGAGCACAGGCACAATGCAAGGCATTAAAATTCTCTTCAATATTCCTCGTGTCCACCTTACTCTATGCAAAAAATATAGTGCACATAGAGCCCAAAGATCTAGAACTCGTTTCCCCAACCAGCAAAAGTTCCCCTGTCTGCCAATCAGTTTAGAGCTATAATTAAAAATCAATTCATATCCCAAACATAATTATACCAGACAGAACCAACTCTTCCAACTGCTTCAGTTTCTTCACCATTTCTTATATAATCTTTCCTAGCCTGAAACATAGAACCAGTTAAACTACTCAAGAAATCCCAATTAATCTAAGATCACTAAATCAGTTTAAAGTATTATTATTACACCTAAAATTGTGCTGTTGTAAATTGTACTATTTTAAATTATACTAATTATAATTTTTTTTTACCCCTCTACTATAAATTTTTCTAATTATAATTTTTTACTAGCTTTTTTTTTTTTTAAGTGCAGAATTTTAAATATACCAATCCATAGCCTATGTCTAGTTTTAGGTAGACTATAAGCATTAGGATTAGTCTGCCTGAAATGCTCATGCATGCTAGTGGCTTTCTTTAGTGCCTAACAATATTTTATTACATGTAAACTACATTACACATATCTGTATACTGCAGAAAATAAATAAATTATTTGTAAGTACAGTAAATGCATTTGTTCCAGTATACCCTTCAATGGTGTACGTACCTTGAGCCAAGGAATTGGATAATTTCCCTATACAGTGGAACCTCAGTTTTTGTCATTAATTCGTTCCAGAAAGTCTGACGAAAACCGAATTCGACAAAAACTGAAGCAATATTTTCCATAAGAAATAATGGCAATCCATTTAATCCATTCCAGACACTCAAAAGACTCTTGTTGGCATATGGAAGACACGAGGAGGTGAGAGGGAGGAGAGGTTATTGGTTGGAAGGGGAATCCCCCTCCATAAGGACTTGAGGTATCAAGTCCCTATCCAGGGTTACTTCCCTTCTTTGTCTTTTACTGGCACTGGACACATGTTGTACAAAAAATCTGTCCAGAGAGGTCTGTTTCTGGTCTCTCTCTAAGATTTCCCTGAAATGGAACAAGGCGTTGTCGTTGAACGTGTTGCAGACACTGCTTGCAATAGCTTTGTTAGGGTGATATTTCTCCACAAAACTTTGTAGCTCACTCCACTTTACACACATGTCCTTAATCACTGAAGAAGGCACATTCTACCCTCTCTCTTCCTCCTCTGAAGCAATTTCCTCAGCTGCAATCTGTTGCTGTTCCAGTTGAAGATGTTGCAGCTTTTCAGCAGTTAGCTCTTCCCTGTGGTCGTCCACCAATTCTTCCACATCCTGGCCACTCGCATCCAACCCCATGCTACGAGTTTTCTTGAATTCTATTGTGTTTCTTGCCGCCTTTATCAAAGGACTGGCACTCTGAAATTTATTTGACCCAATGTTGGCTTATTTAGCAGTCGCACTCAATAAAAAAGCACAAAAAACAATGGATTATTACGAAATGTTTCACGTGAGCATGCAGGGCAATGCTCACTCGACGAGAAACAAAGCCAGACTGACTCAGAATGCATGGGATGCTTTGTGTGGGCGCTGGCAGGCGGACACGTTCACCATGGCGGAACAATGAAAACAAAGGTGATGAATGAAAACTGGGACAAAATTTTGACGAAAAAAGTTGTCGAAAACCAAATTTGACGAAAACCAGGGCAAACAAAAACCGAGGTTCCACTGTACAGTGGACCCCCGCATAACGATATTATTTCAATCCAGAAGTCTGTTTGGGTGCCGTTATAGACCAAATTTGTTCCCATAAGAAATATTGTGAATTAGATTAGTCCATTTCAGACCCCTAAAAATACACCTACAAAAGCACTTGCAAAAATAAACTTACATAATTGGTCGAGTTGGGAGCTGATCGTTATCCGGGGGTCCACTGTATTATTAAAAATACGGCTTCATGCTTTTGTTACAGATATTAATTCTTTGTGATATCAGAATTTGTTAAATGTTTGTTTTTGTACCTAATGCCGGTACCTGACCAGCCGGGCTGTGGTTCGTACGTCAGGTTGCATGCACCCAACAGCAGTAGCCTGGTTGATCAGACCCTAATCCACCATGTGGCCTGGTCACAGACTGGGTCACAGGGGTGTTGACCCCCAAAACCCTCTCCAGGTATACTCCAGGTATCCAAGTGTGGGGTTAATCACTTTAAAATGAGAACACAGAATTTTAAGATACTAGTTTGATTGCATGATAATGCCCTATAAATATCTTCAACTGCGATATAATTTTTAAATCTTTGAAAGCTTATCCCTTTTGGGTTTAGTGCTTAGTTGTGATTATAATTTGAAAAATAGCTGCAGTATACACTAAATAAAATATTTTGAAGCAGGTGATGAAATGATTTTTTAATATTTTAATGCTATATTTTGACTTAATGGTATTGTAGTATAGCATATTATCTTCCTCAGTGGCCTGGTGAAGAACAAACTAGCAGCTTGTGTGAATATTATCCCCAACATAGTGTCTATGTAAGTATGATGATAGGTTGTATATTTTTGTATCATTTTTCTGGGATATTCACTTGAGAAGTGATCCCCAGACATCAGTGACCACAGGCAAGGGTATAGCCATTCAACTAGGTTGAACAGCTATACCCATCAGGTCTTGGGAAAAGTTGGTGGCCCACAGTCAGGTCTTCGTGATTTTGTAGTGCCCTCGACACCTCTCTGGAAAGTTTTAGGTCCCCACTCAGATTGTATGTGGTTTCTGCCATAAATTACACATACACAAACCCTGGTTCAATGATTTCCCTGCATATTTTTTATAATTATTCTTATATAGGACTGTACAGAAATTCCAGACTTGATAAATGCTTTTGAAAACTGCCAAATTGAAGATTGACACTTGTGTAACATATGGGAATCTTTATTAAGGAAGCATTTTCACCACAGTGGCGAAGCGTTTCCTTAACCCCCATCACTGTCGGTGTCGTATTACTACAGCTCGCAAGCCAGTGTTGGTACCGTATTAATACCCCAGAATTCTAGTGGCTTCAGATCTAGCTGGAGAAAGCTGGTAAACCTACCTGTGAGAGAATGGGTCTGCATGGTCAGTATGCACAGTATAAAAAAAAATCCTGCAGCACGCAGTGCATGATGAGAAAAAATAAATTCCGACCATGTTTTTTGGTTTAAAACTTTGACTTTGAGGTGTATTTTTGTATGGTATTTATGGTTTTATTCTCATTTTCTTTGTATCATTTGATAGAATGGAAAATGTATTACAGAAATAGAGCTGATTTTGATTGGTTTCACAATGAAAAGTACCTTGAAATTGAGCTCAAAGTAGCAGAAATGTTCGATTTTTGCCAATGCTCAAGAGTAAACAAATAACGTCACCATCCAATACGTGTCCAACTGGCCAGTCTAATACGCAGTCATGAATGGGTTGACATTATTTATACAGTTATTATAATAATGCAGTAGTCTGCATAACAGTAAATCTATTTTTTGTGTGAATAAAAATTCAAAATGGAAAGCAAGAGTAAAATAAGAGGGGCCTGGAGACGTGACTGATGAACAGAGAAAATGTTATTTTAGTGCTAGGAATATCTGCCTTGTTTATTCTGGACCCTATTTTGAAATTGGTATCTTTTGAAATTTGTGGGAAATTGGCCAAATTGCCAATTTCTGACAACTTTATTGGGTAGTCGAAATTGGTAAATGGGTGGTTTCTTGTACTCAGTCAGTAGAAGAAGTGGAGTTCTAGCAAAATAAATGAGAGTTTAGTCGACTGGAACAGTAGAATTGGCCGAAAATAGGGCTCAAAGTGGACGAAATTGTAATACGTGTATATCACCGAGACTGCTAACTTTGCAAGAGTGTAATTCCATAAGTTTTCCATCAAATTTTGTACTTTTGGTGTCATTACCATCAGGAAAAGATTCTCGACAGTGAAAGGGCTAATAAAGATTCCCATATGTTGCGCAAGTATCTCGTTCTTCAATTCCAGATTGCTTGTACAAAAGCCATTGTCTCTTATTCTAAACTTTCTCAGTATTTGATCAGTAATATGTTGAAAAATGGTTAGCAATGATGGTTGTAGTATGTAGAATGGAAGCTTGCCAAAAATATGTAAACAGCCAATGTGAGTAAACACCCTTTATGCCATCTTGTATACAGAAATGCTACATAACAGCCACCTCGCACCTGAACCCAGTTTTATAGACAAAGGAAAAATAGGTTTGAAAGGAGATTACAGTGGAAGATGGAAAAGAAACTTTGCAGTGTGATTGGATGAACACAGAGATATTGGATGACTCAAACTTTTGCTGTCCATATAGCTGGTGGAATTAAAAACTAGTAAAGTTTTATTTTCTGTCATTACATAGATTTTACATTATATTTTGTTTTTGTTTTACATGGAAAAGCCCATAGTTATTCAATGCATGATCAGTCAATAAAAAACTAATCTGACCTCTGTGCCAACCTTTGTCCAGTGCGGATATCTTGCTTTGTTCCTGCCATGAGCATTGTTAATAAATTTCTCATTTTCTTCCCAGGATGCTTGTCCTCATCACACACAGCCCACTGGGCAATTGGTCAGGGTGCCATACATCCACTTTTATAAGCTTGGGAACAGCTTGTTGTTCACTGGGGGTAGGGTGTGGGCATCTAGCTTTGCCATGGGGGTCCACCTGACCTAATTGAGAAAATTTTGTTTCCATTTCATTTTGGAGGAAACTTGTTTCCTGACAAGTTTAGAGACTGCTGTAAATAAGAGGGTGATTAATAATTGATGTCTGCCGCATTTTCGAAGTACAGTTGCCCCCAACTTACGAACAAGTTATGTTCCAGAAGGCTGTTCGTATCTTGAGTTGTTTGTCAGTCGTTATTTTGCCATTTTTCTTTTGTTATGATTATTATTGTTTTTTTAATATCATTATTATTATTATTGTTCTCTCTGTGCTGTTGTTCATTGAAAATTTAGACAATACTGTACAGCATCAGTAATGTACAGTTATTAATACAAAAGCATATTTTAATAATAAATACTGTAATAAAAAAATTCTTACCTTTTTAATTAGTACAGTTAACTAACATGGCAATCTGTTCATATGTCCGAATGTTCATAACTCGAATGTTCATAAGTAGGGTAGCATCTGTATATTTGAAAAAAAAATTCTGGTGTTAGAGAATGAAGATATTAAACTTTTATCAATGTTTGTTGCAAAGGAAAGTTTACAAAAAGAATTAAGGTTCAAAGGTAAAATATTCTCGTGGTTACTTTAGCTAATTTTTGTAAATTAAAATTTGGTAAATGGTTCTTTTAAAGTGTTTCTAGTTTTGATATAATACAGTTTTTGCTGTTTTATAACTAAGGGATTGTTAATGAACTTTTATCAGTTTGCTAAGTATTGCAATTAACCCAGGGCAAGCTTAATTCTAGTTTCAGAGCTTTTAGTGTGGTATAGGTCCTATGTTGCTTATTTTAACTGAAATCGCCAGTAGTGTGAGAATAATTTTGCTTGTTGTTGTATGGCATAAGAAGTACACGGTGTGTCTGTGGTAGCCTTCTATTTCCTGTTACAAAAGCAATGCAGAATGCATTCCATCTTTTGAAGAAAAAAAAAAAGTATAAATACTAGATTGGTCTCTTCCAATTTACTGATGTATAATTAACACTTGTTTGACAGATATGAATGGAAGGAAGAAATCAATGAAGATTCAGAGGTGCTGATGGTAAGTGGTATCTATCTTGTATAGACAGCATTATATTTAGGTAGTAAAAACATTTCTCACTGATATATTTAGTTTGACAATGCTTGTACACTATGGTACGCATACACATAAGCACTTCAGTTTTTTCTCTTTGTAGATATTTTTAATTTATCAGAAATACTTTGTTAGAATAGCTGGAGCTCTTGCATTTTTGACCACTGACATACTACTTTTGACTGCAGATGATCAAAACTCGAACCTCTCGCCTAGAGGAGGTGACAAAGTTTGTGCGGGAAAATCACCCATATGAAGTATGTGAAGTTATTTCATCACAGGTGAGTTCAAAATGTGATTTGTTAGACATGCATTTTCTGCATGTGTGTGGTTATATTTCTGTATTTGCTTAAAGGTACATTTTATGTAACGTGTTTTGCCAGAAATAAGATGTAATTGTTCTCCGTCACAAGAATAAAGACACTCTATCTCTAGATCGACCAAGGAAACCCACCATATCTGGACTGGATTAGCAGTATTGTGCCGGAGAAGGAGTGAAGTTCCTGCTAAGTGTGCATTTCTGGACTTGAGATTGCAGCTAAATATGAAAAAAGGAAAATAGAAGCCTACGGAAAGTGTTATGGCAGATTTATAATTCTGATTTCATATTCAGTGACAAAAATGTATTTCAACAACTTTTAATTCGCATCTAAGTGAATGTTCCTCTTGCTGGTGAAATACTACTGTGTTCGTTTTAAATACAGTATATGTTGCATATACAGTACGTGCTTTGTATTAACCTGCTGTTTAATGGTGGTAGTTATGTATATTTGTTAAATGTATCTCTTCAAAGGGAGGATGTCTTGATGTTGGTGAGGGGCTCTTCATCCAAGCAATTAGTACTACCCTTTCCCTCTGATCAAACCTAATCTCCTATTCTTCAGGAGCTGTAAGGGTCATAGCCTGCAAATAAACACTGTCCACCCAGATGTAAGGTGTACAAACAAAATTGGTTTGCTCATTACATCTATTGAAGACTGATGCTGTATGACCCTTATAGGTTTAGCACTTCATTTTTTTATTATAATATTGAATCCTGACACATGTGCAACAGTTGGGTATCTTTATTGATGATTTGTTTCACCTACACAGTAGGCTTCTTCGGTCAGATACGGGGGGAGCAGATGTAGTAGTGAAATAAAGATGTAATAAGTTTATCAACCTTGGAGAAAATGTATTAGAGGTGGTCATTCCCTGATCCTAGAGAAGAGTTCAGCTCCAGGTTGCTCCTGAGTGACCCAGCTACTGGACCACTATGACAAGGTCCTGGATGCCATAGAGGATAAACGAATGCCGATGCAGTATACACAGACTTTGCAAAAGCCTTCAACAAATGTGACCATAGTGTAATAGCGCACAAAATGTGTGATAAAGGAATAACAGGAAAAGTTGGAAGATGGATCTATAACTTCCTGACAAATAGAGCACAAATAGTACATAATAGTGAACAGAGTAAAGTCCAAGGCAGCTACAGTGAAAAGCTCTGTTCCACAAAGCACAGTACTTGCTCCTATCTTATTCCTCATCCTCATATCTGACATAGAGATGTCTTCCTTTTCAGATGACACCCAAATTGCCATGACAGTGTCCTCCACTGAAGACACAGTAAGACTCCAAGCAGACATCACCCAAATCTTCATATGGGCCACTCACACAATATGAAGTTCATGGAAGACAAATTTCAACTACTCAGATATGGAAAACTTGAGGAAATTAAAACTGTATCAGGGTATACCACAAATTCTAACCATACAATAGAGAAAAAAAGTAATGTGAAGGACCTGGGAGTGATAATGTCAGAGGATCTCGCCTTCAAAGACCACAACAATGTATCTACTGCATCTGCTAGGAAAATAATAGGATGGTTAATGAAAACCTTCAAAACTAGGGACGCCAGTCCCGTGATTCTCTTCAAATCGTTTGTTCTCTCTAGGCTGGAATACTGCTGTATGCTAACTGCCCCCTTCAAGGCAGGCAAAATTGCTGACCCGGAGTGTACAAAGAACTTTCACAGTACACAAAAGTACTACTATAAGGCATCTAAATTACTGGGAACGGTTGAAGTCCCTCGATTTCTATTCCCTGGAATGCAGGCGAGAGAGGGGCATGATAATAGACACTTGGAAAATCATAGAGGAATTAGTACCAAATTTACACACAAAAATCACTCCCTATGAAAGCAAAAGACTCGGCAGGAGATGCAACATTCCCCCAACGAAAAGCAGGGGTGCCACCAGTACATTGAGAGACAATGCAATAATTGGCAGGGGCCCAAGACTGTTCAACTGCCTCCCAGCATACATAAGGGGGATTACCAGTAGAGCCCTGGCTGTCTTCAAGTAGGCACTGGACAGGCATCTAAAGTCGGCACTTGACCAGCTGGGCTGTGGTTTGTACGTCAGTTTGTGTGCGGCCAGCAGTAACAGCCTGGTTGATCAGACCCTGATCCACCACGAGGCCTTGTCTCAGACTGAGCTGTAGGGGCATTGAACCCCGAAACTCTCTCCAGGTATCCTCCCCTTTCTTGGATTGACTTTGCTCCACAGACACTGCCAAACCCACTGATTTCAAAAAAAAAAAATCCTCAGGTGATATGCAACTCCACACAGGTTTAGCATTCTATCTCCCCTGCATGTAATAAAGAGCACCTCTCCAGTAATAACATGGGCAGAGTACAGCGTCTCTGCCTTGAAGCAAATTAAAACTTGCTCCAAAAATTAACTAGGTCAAATTAAATTATAAATCCTTTTTCTGTCACTTGGAATTTTTCTAAAACCATTAGAGCAAGTCAGAATTTTACCGCAAAGTTACTATTAATTTCCTCCAAACAATGATTCCATTGAATTATGAATTAATATTGCAGTGCTGTATGGTCCTTGTGGGTTTAGTGCTTAGTTTTTATTGCAATATGAATTAATATTCCTAGCTTTTCAGCTTGGCTTCAAAGCTGATATTTTTTAGTGGGAGGTTCAGTTTAGTTTTCATCTGGGGCTGATCGTCCAACTCCCCTCCGATTGCATTCAGCCCTAATTTTATCGAAACTAGATTATGGTGACCAGATATATTCAGTGACCTCTCCTGCAACTGTTTCTAAACTTGATCCCATCTATCACCAGGAATTGCATTTATACCTCAGTGCTTTTTGTTCTTCACTTGTCGAGAGCCTATATGCAGAGGTGAACATTCCATCCTTGAACGATTGCCGTGATGCTCATTGCCTCTGCTATTTTGTTCGCTCTCATGACCTTCACAATCCTTCCATATATAGGAGTTATGGATGTTAGTAGAGGTTCATTGTTTGTCACCCCAGTTTACTCCCTTTCTCTTCGTCTGAGTTCGCTCGTCTTCTCAGTTGCCTCCTTTATATGTTCATGTAGAATCTAATTTTTTTCCCTTCCTTAGGGGGTTTGTAGTTCATGGCTGTTCTTCCCCTGTATGCAGAAACCCCAAATTTGTACAGTTGTTCCGCTCTCTTTTTTTTAATCACTTCGGGTCCTTTTTCCATCCCGTTTTTGTACACTGATGTTTCTAAGTCCTTGGACATGTCGGGTTTGCAGCATGTTTCCTGCTGCATAGTGCGAGGGCATTTATTGTTTTGCTAGCATTGTTACGCTAAATTTTTGGTGAATTCTCTAGAAAATTACTGTTTGCCCATGCTGTGCGCATTTGGGGTAGTCCGACTCGCCTCACCCCGGGTTTTCTATAAACTTGGGTTACCGCATCTCTAGCAAAAAAAGTATTGTTTTCTGTTGGGTCCCGGTCATGAAAATGTACAGGCAATGAACAGGGAGGGCTTAAGGTGTTCATTCACAGACATTTTGCTGTAATTTTTTCGCCCCCTTTGTACACTGGCAAAAGCATTGGGGATATGTACATAATAAATAACATTCTATCAAACCCAAATTTTGGTTTTGGATATCATCGGCTCAATGCCAAAGGTTTGGGAAAGGGTGTGCTTCCTGTTTAAAATTGGACACTCTCTTATCGGGGATCCAAAGGAAGGGCATCCTATTCCACTTTTGGAATTGTCGTTCCCCGTTTCAGTTAGCCATATTTGTTTGGGCGTCTTTTCTATCAAAAGCATCAGAATTTACCCCCCGAAATCTCAGCTTAACGCCCCGCTTTATTCCCCTCCTTGCTGAAAAACCCACCCTTTTACTCGACCCCCTCCTTACTTTTTGACAGCAACTGATTGCTAACAAAAATTTAATGGTACTTCCTCTAGCACTTCGCCCTTTTTAATTCCCTCTGTTGTCCCCTCCCCCCTTGCTACTGTGTTTAATCCGCACTATCCCCGCCCTGCTGTGCTGTACACCCTTGTAGCTTTAGTGCTTTTTTCGATTATAAAACAATCAATTTAGTTTTAGGTTTGTTTGTCCTAATTTACCCTTTTTTAGTGTCATGTGTAACTTGTGAATACCGCGTTTTTTTTCGCTCCTCAAATTTTCAGTTCTAATATTTTTGGCATTAGAAACCTATTTATGCATTCTGCATATTTTTTTTGTGTGCAAGGGAAACCCGCAGCTGGAGGTTTAGTACAAGGATGTCTCTTGGATTGTGCAGTAGCCAAAACAAAACAAAAAAAAAAATTCACACCACTAAGGATAGGTGTGGGATGACTACCACCCACAAGATGGGAAAGTAAGCTTATTTAGGTATGTATAATTACACAGGTACAATTATACAAGTTTAAGGTGATGACAGCAGTGCTGTACTCGCCTAATTGTGGTTGCATGGGTCGAGATTCAGCGCCTGGCTGTATGAACCTTGTAGGTTCAGCCCTTCATTTTGATTATAATAGGTGATGACAGTTGTCATGCACAGTCTGGATATGGGGTCACTACCACCTGCAGGATGTGCATTGATTGACAAGCTCCCATATATGTATAGGATGACTATCAACCTAAGGATTGATGTGTGTTAATTATGTTAGGGTCGGCTGGATTAGATTCCTCTAAAAGGAGACATCTAGCAGAGTATAAATAGAGAGTTTGTCACAGATGGAGGATCGAGCCTCCACCATGTCTTGGACTGTTGGACTGAATGACCCAAGTGAGTTTAGCGTTTAACATGAATTATAATAATCCTTTAAAGAGAGAGTCCTTGATGCCAACAAGGGGCTCTTGAACAAAGGAATTGAACTGATGCTCTTGCATCAAACCTAAATGGTTTGTATTTCCCCAAGCACGTTGTATGATCTACACAGGTCTAGTGCCTCCCCATGAATGTAATAATACTAGATTTGAATATTTTGCTAATAATAATCTTTATTCTGAAAGTACATGTGCAACGTATAAAGACCTAGCTGACATCAATGACATACTATATAGAAAGGGCCCCTTGTTATACAGAGCATTTCAGATAAATTAAGTAAATTTTGTCCCCAGGATGCAGCGCTGTATGACCCTGCTGGGTTTAGCGCTTAGTTTTGGTTATAATACTGCTAGGTTAACATGGACAACAGGTGTTTCAAGGAAACACGTTCCATTTTCCAACCCGTAACCCTTAGAACCGGTGCGGGGGGCGTCCGATTGACTCGGCAAATTATATATTCTATCAAGCCAAGTTTGGGTCTCCCAGCCCGAGGCTGGGAGACTGTGCTCTCCCATCTTTATATCGGGCACACCTGTCTCACTCATGGGTATATCATGGAGAGAGAAGAGCCCGTTCCACTTAGAATTGTCAGGCTCCAATTTCCATTTGTCATATCCTTTCAACGGT